TGTCCCCACTGCCCCCTGGCTGGGCTCCCCACTGGCTCACTCCCTAGTGGTCCCCACCCTGTTCCCAGCCCTCCCTCCTGCCTCCTACCCCATGTCTTGGCAAGCTTCACTCAAACCCCCTCCTCCAGAAGCAAGCCCAAGAAGGAGTGTCTAGTGTGCTGGGCCCTGTGCTTGTGCCAACCCCAGCCCCTACCCCACAGCAGCTGCCACCATGGTGGCCACACAGAGACAATCTGGGAGATGCTGGGCTGTCGGGTTCTTGGGCCAGGTGCTGACCTCTACTGGGCCTCTGGGCCAAAGATTGCCCCGGCTGGAGTCAGGGTTCAGGAAAGGACCCAAGGCTGGCCCCGCTCTACCCACATGTGAGCCTCGCAGCCCTGCAGGCAGCAGGCAGGGCTGGGGTCCACTCATGGGATCCAGCCTCCCCCAATGGCAAACTCCAGGGGTCCTGGGGTACCTCATGGCCTCCCTGTCTCCTCGAGTATGAATCAGTGCAGATGCCTCCCGTGGTAGAGCTCCTGTCCACCTTCCCTCCCTGGCCACGCCCCAGACCATGCCTCTCTAAAGATAGCTAGACGCAGGCTGGGCCTCTGCGGAGCCCCCTTCGGGTCCTGAAATTACAGCCCTGGTGGCCCGAAGGAGAGACTTGCTGTGTGATTATGTCCTCGGGGGAAGGTCAAAAAAAGCTCGTGGCATGGAGAGTGCCAGCTCTCACCAGCCACGCCTCAGCCATCCAGCACTGGGAAGCTTCCAGAGAGTGGGGGCTCAGGGACCACTGAGCACCAGCTCAGCCATCTCTTGGACGTGCTGGCACCAGCCTGGTCCATAAGTGACCCGCTCCCCACACCCAGAAGTTCCCCTGAGCATCAGTTTCATGCCGCCTCAGGGCTCCTGGTCATCACCTAAGTGGCCCTTGAGCGGGGGCAGAGCTACCCTCTGGTGTCTGCGGATCTGGCCCTCATCCTGCCCCTGCCCAGCCCCTTATGGTGCGGCCATTGGAGATGGACAAAGCCAGCAGGCTGGGAGTGAGGTCTGCGCAAGGCCGTGAACTTGGGGGCGTTCTGGGCAGGGTTGCTTGCTCAAAAAGTGACCATCTTGATGCACCTGACACATCCCTGGCTAGGAATTTGTCCTGGAGGTTGAGGCATAAGGGTGGCCCCATGGGAGAGAGAGCCAGGTGAGGGAGCACTCCCGGGAGCACTGAAAGGCAGCCCCGGGTGCCACCTCCTTGCCCGCCTGCCCCCGACCCACACTCACACTTCTCACACTCCTCGGGCACCTTATGCTCTGTGGGGCGGCTCCCTGTTCCCCGCTCCTTTCCCAGCTCTCCCCTCTGTCTCTCCTGCCCTCCCCCTCGCACTGTCCAATGCTGGCAGGGAGCAGGGCGGAGAGAGGCCAGGAAGAGCCCCGGGAGGGCTGGCAGAGGAGCCCTGAAGCCCAGGGCCAGGGCGCTCTTCTTTCCAGGCTGCAGAACTCGTGGGACAAACAGCTGGATGGGCTGGGGCTCCCGCAGGAGCTCTCTCAGGAGTTGCCACCTCTGTAGGACCTTTCACGAGCCCCTGGGAGCCCCTGCACCCTGGGCCACCTCCTTGGCTCTCAGGCCCTGCCCTCCAGGGACTTACCTCAAAGGCCAGCATTTCGTGCCCCTTGGGCGCCCTGCTTCTTTCTTGGGCTTCCCCCTTTAGCTTTGAAGCCAGGGCACAAACAGCTGCAAGCCAGCTGTGGGGGGACAGACCGCAGCTGACACCAGGCCTTCTGCACACACAGGCCAAGGGGGTGGCAGCTGGCTTCGATCCCCTACTCGGGGGAGGCAGCCTCGGAGAGCCGCTGGCCAGCCCTGCCTCCCTCCTGTCAGCCCCCTTCCTCCCCAGCCCTCTCCCCTCCCATAGACATGTGCCCTTGCCCTGTCCTCCTGTCTCATGACTGTCCCCTTCCTCCACCCACTGCTGCCACCTTCCAGCACCTATCCTGGGGTATTCCCGAGGCAGGACAGCCGCAGCCGGCTGCTCAGGGCTCTCCTGGCCACAGGTCTGAGGAGCTGGGCTCATTCTCAGATGGAGAGGGCCAAGTTCTTGGCTCCATCAGGAAGGAGAAGGGGCCTCCCGGGTAGAGGCGACTCGAGGCTGATGCCAGGAGGCTCACCTTGTCTATAGCCCTTTGGGGGAAGTATCCTTGCCAGGGCTTTGGGGGCCTGTGCAGTGGGAGGTAAGAGAGCTGTGTGCTGGCCTCCTTCTCAAGAGCCTTGGGGGCCCTAGGAAATGCCTGCTCTTCCTTCCTGCCTCGTCCCCCATGCCTGACCTCCTCCCTGCCTCCTCCCAGCTCTGGGAGGCCAGAAGAGCAGGAGGCCGCCTGCTCCGGCTAGCCTGCAAGGACGCACGTTCCCAGCACTGCTTCAGCTGAGATCCAGGTTTTTCCTGTACTGCAGAGCGCACCGAGGCCTGGGGAGGGGCGAGAAGGAGGGGGAAGGGGAGGCCCAAGGACTGAGGTGCTGCCTGGCTGGTCTGGGAGTCGCCCCCAAATTAGAGGGCTAGGCCGAGTGACTCAGTGGGCCCTGGCCGGGCGTGCAGTCATGGCTTATTGCAGACTGTGAACCACAGACACAAGAACCTTCCAGGCACAAGAACCGTATTTATGGAAATATTGCCCCAGAGGCACCCCCAACCGTGGGGAAGAGCTCCGAGGTGTGTAATGCCCCCCCCCCCACACCATGCGGGGCGTTACCTCATCACTATGCCCAGGTCCCCCCCAGGAGTGCACCTGGCCGACACCCGAGGGTGAGGTCTGTGCAGGGAGACAGGTTCTCCCCCGCTGCCCCCCACACCCTCTGCACCTAGCCTGCACAATGGCCCTCTTCCCTGCTCAAGTCTGCTCCAGGTCACCTCCTTCAGGAAGCTTTCCCAAGCCTCTAGCGATGTGCATGGCTCTGGAGAGACCTGAAACCAGAGAGGCCCAGTCCCCTCCTCGTGGCACTCACAGCCCAGTCCTGGGAGCCCAGTCCCGGGAGCCCCGGAGTGGGTCATGGCAGCTGCTCCCAAGACTCCTGCTGTCCTCAGGGCTGTTCACCCACTGGGGCTCCTGGGCCCAGCCTGCAGCGTGGTGCAGAGCAAGGGAGGGCTGGGAGCGGAGGCCAGGCGGCAGCACACTCAGTGACAGACTTGGGAAAAGGCTGCTCAGGCAGTAGGTGGCCTTATGTGGATTTTCCTTCTTAAAAACAGCTTTACCGAGATGTGCTTCATACTTGCCCATTGCCAAAGGACGATTGATAGTTCGTACTTAGCAAATTCAGAATTGTGCGGCCATCGCCACAGGCAATTTTAGGACATTTCCATCACCTGAAAAAGAAGCCCACACCTTTAGCTATCACCTATCTGTCCCTCATTCCTACCACTGGCTTTCTGCCTCTGCGGGGGGGGGACCTGCTCCGGACAGTGGTCTTCTGGTCTCCTGCGACTGGCTGCTGCCACCGGGCAGAGGCCCCCTTCCTGCGCCCAGCTGCTAGTCCGCCCTCACCGCCTGTGCCCTGCTCTCTACCACCACATCACCCAGGAACGAGCTGCAGTCTGGCTCCAAACCCAGTGCAGGATGGGGAGGGGCCGGAGAGGGGCAGGGGCAGAGATGAGACCAGGCGACCATGAGGAGGGGACGCTGGAGCTCGGTGAGGCTCCATGCGCTCACAATACTGTTCTTCCTACTGACAGATGCGTCTGAATATGTCCGCAATGAAAAGTAAAACACGCAACCCAGCACAGACAAACCGACCCCACGTGCTCCAATCTCCTCATCCCAACCCCGAGAGCAGGAGGGACCCGGGTCCCCAGCCTCACCCCAGCCTCTCTCTCTGGCCACCCCTTGGCGCCTTTTCTCTGTACGTGCAGTTTTCTCTTGGGCTCTCTGCCGCGCTCGGCCCTCCACTCTCCTTTTCTACATGTCAGTGTTGCTCACTATAGGTTTCTTGCCGCATCCAAACCCTCACCTGTGGCTCTCGGAAGCTGCTCTTCCTGGGGGAGGCATGGGACACCACCGGACAGGGAGAAGGTGTCGTGCTAAGGACCTGGGCCCTAGACGCAGGCAGACTCACTGGGACCCTCAGGAAGTGGCCGAGGCTTGCTGGGCTGACCCAGTTGGCCACAGAAGTGAGCAGAGCAGGGTTCGGCCCAGGGGAAGTGCCCACCCACAGAGGGGTTGTCAAGTCCTAGGGGACCTGTCAGGATTGAGCAAGAAAGATGACTCGTGAGGCAGGCTCCTCTTCTCTGAATCGGCTTCCCCACTGGCTGCTTCTCCAAGGCCTCAGGGCAGGCAAGGGACGGAGGACCCCCAGAATCTGTGGAGCCCTCCTACCAGCCCCAGCTGGGTCCCATCCTAGGACACAGACAGGGGAGAAGGGCTGGGGTTGCGGGGAGAGCGCACAGAGTCCTGGGAGCCTAGATCAAGCTCTGCGATCCCAGAGAAACCGCCCCTTGTTCAGGGCCAGGCGCCGCAGCTTCTGGGCAGGCCCAGGACAGGATTCCAGGGGCCACTCACGGGCCTAGCGGCCCCAGGCCACCTCCCCCTCGTCGGCCTCCCCCTTCTGCCCTCTTTCTTTCCTCTGCCTGGCGGGGTGCCAGCAAGCGCCTCAGTGTCCCCATCTGGGCAGTGGAAAGTTTGACTCTCCGAGGCGTGCCTGCCCAAGGACTCCGAGGGTCCTTGTGTGAGGGAGCGGGTGTGTGTCCGTCTGCTGCGCACCCGAGGCTGGGGG